AACAGGCGCTTCAGCAGCTGCAGTAACCTGAAGACTCACCTGCGGCTGCACTCGGGCGAACGGCCGTATGCCTGTAAGCAATGCCTCGCCAGCTTCACCCAGCACATCCACCTGCGGCTGCACAGACGCCTGCATGTCAGCCCGCACTCCCAATGCTGCCCACACTGCTCCTGCAGATCCAACTGCACCAGTTCTGCCCCGCCTCCAGCCTCACAGGCTCCGCCTCTCAGCTGTGCCGAGCCAATGACGAGATCGAGAGGTTTGATCTGAGTGAAGGTGCAGCGAAGCTTGAGGCTGGCATGGCGGCGGAGTCTATAAAGAAGATGTGTCAGGTGATCTGGGCACTTGCAGGGAGCAGCACAGGCCCAAACAATGACACATGAATCGTCCAGCTCTGTTGCTCCAAAGGTTTGCATTAAACAGGACGGTGATCAGAAAATTGTCTGTCTGATATTTTATTCTTGAATACATTTAACACTTTTATTCTAGCAAGGATGCATTAAATTGATCTAAAAATAACAGTAGACATTTATAATGTAACAAAAAATATATTTCAAATAAATGCTGTTCTTTTGAACTTTCTATTCATCAAAGAATCCTATTAAACAAAGAATTCCATAAAAACAGCACAACTGTTTTCAACACTGATAATAATAAGAATTGTTTCTCGAGCAGCAAATCAGCATATAAGAATGATTTCTGAAGGATCATGTGACACTGAAGACTGGAGGAATGATGCTGAAAATTCAGCTTTGATCACAGAAATCAATTACATTTTAAAATATATTCAAATAGAGAACAGTTATTTTAAATTGTAATAATATTTCACAATATTGTTGTTTTTATTGTATTTCTGATTAAATAATTGCAGCCTCTGTGAGCTTAAAGACATAAAAATCTTACTGACCCAAAACTTGAATGATAGTGTGTAATATATGTTATATGAATAACATCTAAACGCACAGTACTAAATGGTGCAGTCTCTGGAGTTATGTGTTAACTAAACCACTGACAAAAGATGTTATATAGCTTTAAGGGGAGATAGGGGCTAGTTGTCACACTGGGTTTTATTTTTGTTTTTCCAATATCATCATATTTGTGTAATATCATATTTGTATAATGACACAATAAAACCAAGCATGCATTCAGACAAGAGTCAGCTATTGAATGAAGTTAGATTTTCTCAGGGCAAGAGTATTTTCATAAATGACAAATTGCAGAAAACTGGCATGTTTTATAAGTTATAATTGTACATACATTTCTGTTGCCTAAAACAGTGGCTTCATTCTTTTTTTATGATTTTTTTTCCCATTTGTGCTATTTTGTGATTTTTTTTGTTTAAGTTTTTACAGTAATTCAGAATATTTTGCTATTTAAACAACCATTAAATAGAATATAACACATGTAACCCTCTGGTATTGTTCATTTGGGAGTCACACTTGTGTTGTTCGTGGTCAAAAGTGACCGGACACCTGAAATGAAACGCTTCTTCAGTTAAATCAATGTAATATCTTTTTGTTTGATAATATTTTTTCTTTTGTATTTTGAGAGAATTCCATGGTACTATTTAATATTTATGCAATCATTATTATAAATTTTTCCCAATGAAAATGATAAATAAATATTTTTCTATTACTTTGTAATTATGGCAGTATTTCGTGTTAAAATAGAGTCAATGCCTTTAAAATCCAATTTTTGAAGGCAGATTAGTTCCACCTGAACTTTTTGTGAAGGTTTAGATTTTTATTTTATTTTTTATGTTGGTTTGAAATGTCAGTTTTTGCATTCAAACCTGAACACAAAGATATGAATTGTATTACACATAACATCAGAGTTCAACAAAAAATTAACAAATATAAACAGGATTGCTTTATCAGAGGCTACTCAATCTGATTTAAATCTCTTATTTGAGTCTTCTGGCTCAATTTTGCAATATTGTAACAGCCACACCAGTTCATTTGTGTGTATAATAGAGTAGGGGGGGCGTCTGTTTTGCACTCTTGATATTTTAGAGTGTCACCCCTTCATCGCTGTCTTTTTTTGCATCGTGAATAATTTGTAGATTGTACACACAAAAAAATATCTCAATTTTCGTATTTTTGCGTATTTAATTCCCATTCATTTGCAGTTGACCGCGAACAACAGAAGTGTGACTATTTTTTATGACCATTTAGCTTTTTCGAATCAAGTCCACGATTTTTTATTTATTTTTTATTTTTTCATAACTGCCATAAAAGTCAGCGAGTTTCGTACTATTCCGATGAAGTAGCGATTTTTTAAAAATTCAACAAAAAAAAATTCCGGTCTAAAATGACCGAACAATACCAGAGTGTTAAATACATGTGTGGCGTTTTTTAAACATTAGATGTGTGTGTGTGTGTGTGTGTGTGTGTGTGTGTGTGTGTGTGTGTGTGTGTGTGTGAGT